CTCTTGCTCTGGCGGTCGAAGAAGAAGGAACAACTCTAAAAAGGTAATCAGTGACCAAGCTGTATAAGTTTGGGCCTAGCTGCATAAGCTAGGGTTCCACTGTATTCCTTTATAGTACATGGTCAAAATAAATTGTGTTACAGTATAGTGTGCATAGTCACAGGGTATCACAGTACAGGGCGACGTACTGTTGATACAGGGTGTCAGGTACCAAGACACAGGGTTTACCAAGGCATAGGTTTTATAGTGGCTAGCTATAGGGTGACTTGGTCAAACGGCAGTCGCGGTAAAGGGTGACGTGGTCAAGGTGTGTCGCGGTAAAGGGTGTACACAGTCACGGGTGTCGCAGTAAGGGGCTATTTACTGTTGATACAGGGTGACGGATATATTGTGATACAATTGTTTTAGTTGGCTCTTTTTGACTATATTAGTGTTAGAGGTATATTAATATAAAATATCTACCGGGTGTAGATTAGGTAATAGTTATTTGAGTCAGAAAGACGGCCGTTATTTTGTATATATTGTCGGCACTTGTTTGTTACAACAATTACTGGGTCCAAGAAAGAACTTGGTAACGAACTGTAGGCACGCATCCGTTACAGTAATGACAATTTCACAAATGCAGATTTGCCAACCTTTTGAAATTTCTAACGTAACATCACGGACTTAGATAATCTAATTCCGTGATAACATAAATAATCATAAAAAAATGTCACGTGTTTATGCCCCTAGGTAAAAATAACACTTGAGTGTACATCAATCATCTTTTGAGTTCTTTCTGATGAAACCATTAGGTCTTATACTCAATCAAAATAAGTTTATTGGCTGAAAATGGTCAATTTTAGCAAGACAAGCCTAAATATCAACTGTGTCACATTGTATGTACAGTAATTAATAGCTTCTAGCCAGGCTATAACTTCATTAATTAAACATCCATGCTAGAAGATTTCCTACACTGTAAATATTTTGAGAAATCTTGTCTGTAAGAGATTCAGTTGTATACTGATTCTTAATTACCACTGCAGTTTTACTCATGGAATAGGACGTTGATCTTTTATATCTGTTTCATATGTATGGGTCGGGTAGGGCTTTTCTACAGCGTATGCTTCCTGTGGATCAGTCGCTACTCTCTGTCTGTCTGTTAGTTTACATAGCCATATCTAGCAAGTTATCCGGTCTCTACTTCCGTTTCCTGTCTCGTTAGGCACAACGCCTAATGAGACAGGAAACGGAAGTAGAGACCGGAAGTTCGGCTTCATCTCTTACTTTACTCTGCATTAACGATTTGGCCAATCGTAAAAGCGGAACTAATGAAAGGGGCTATAAAAGATCATGTTCTTGAGTTGC